CTTTGAGTTTTCATGGTGGAGTAAAAAAAAACGATTAGCAAATTATGATTTTCTGTTTATGGATGGAGTAAAAAAAAAACGATTAGCAAATTATGATTTTCTGTTTATGGAAAATTATCTGGCTAAATGAGAAAATTCGCGAAAATGCTAAATGACAGTTTGATTTAAAATTTTCCTGTCTTTATGATTTTTTAATCTTGGGGGCAAGGATATAGGTTATATGGAAACTGTCCGAGCATGTGTTGAATGAAATTGGGTGGAGTTATCCAGTTTTCTTTGATCTTCAAACCTTGTAAATGATAGCTACATCAATAACTAATAACTGTGGCCCGGATATTTGAGGGCGTACTTTCACCATAAGTTTACAAAATATTTTCAATTGTCTTAGCTGCCTGCGCTATAAATCGCTTTTAGGTGGTTGTGGTTCAATGATTGTATTAATGCACACCAATATTTGGTTCACATAGTTTCTCCCATTTAGAATCTTTTCATACTCTTTTTTTACGCCTTGAGGGTTTGCCTTTTATTTTATGCAACTATGCATCAAGCAAATTTGTACTTTCCTCGACTTCCCTCTCGAATTGAATTTTCTAAGTTAGGTGTAGGTGCATTTCAACTTCGATCCTGTCTCATGTGCTGTAGATTTTACAATTCTAAGGGATATGCTATTCAGTGATTAAAGTAGGAGATAGCTCTTGTCATAGGTGGAAATAGCTAGAAGTTTGACAAAAGATTTATTATTGCAGTTAAGTTTTCACATACTGATATCTTATAACTCATATGCATCTCATATAATCCATATTCATGAATTGCTTGCTTGATTTGAAAATGAACATTGAATCAAACAGTTCTCAAATGCAGTATGGCTTGGTGCATATTGCTGCTGGAGATCTATTAAGGGCAGAAGTAGCAGCTGGGACTGAAAATGGGAAGCGTGCCAAGGAATACATGGAGAAGGGCAAGTTGGTTCCTGATGAAATTGTTGTCATGGTATAAGAATATTATTATTTTCCTTAGTACTTTTATGGCTGTTGTTTCACTTAGATGGAGCATTCATTTAGATGGTTAGGGAGTGACTGATGCAATCAGATGCTCAAGAAAATGGATGGCTTTTGGATGGGTATCCAAGGAGCTTATCTCAGGCAAAAGCCTTGGAGGATCTTGGCATCCGACCTGATCTTTTCGTTCTCTTGGATGTAAGCATTTTTCTCTCACAAAAATGCTTAGTTCTCAAATTCAACTTATGATTGATACATATACGGACTCTCTTTAGGTCTCTGAAGACATTCTTGTTGAGAAAGTGGTCGGTAGAAGACTTGATCCTGTTACAGGAAAGATATACCATTTGAAGTATTCTCCACCTGAAAATGAAGAAATTTCTGCGAGATTGACCCAGCGCTTTGATGATACGGAGGAGAAGGTTTTTCTATTAACCTGTCAATATACGTATACATGGAGCTCTTTATCATAAAATTTTTGATTGTTATTATTTTCATATGTTACCTTTTCTTTCATAATAATGTGGATGATGTGCTTTCTGTATATAAAGATGTCATCTACAAGGTGCATCAAACTGGTAATTTTATAATTATTTCTAACTGAAATCCAGTTGGATCAATTTACTTGAAATACACAGTCACTGGGATCTCAAGTGCTGTGGTTAGTACCTATATGTTTTACAGGGCTAAATGAGGGAATGAATTTTTATTGTTACCTGTTCCATGTTTTCCTAACAAACTATAAAAAATTAAAAAAAATAAATAAATAAAAACACTCGGAAAAAGGAAAAATTTTCCGATAATACCAAGTAGTTCTACCATCTCTTCTAAGTTCTAGCAGTGTGTGTCCATTTAAAAAGTGAGCATCAAGTAATAAGTTCAATTATCTGGTTTTCCTTAAGTCATGTAAAGCACAGTACTGGAAAACTAATAATCAGATTAAACTTGATCTGTACAATTACAATTCCAATATACAGAACAGTTGAAACAAAAACCTAACACTTTATCCGAACCTGAAGAAGTGGCCCTGGGTCATGGGTTAGTTTTGAAAATGCTTCATCAGCTTTTGTGAGTGCTTAGCAGCTTGGTTCTTTTTGGTAAGCAAGAAACGAATTTATCTTAAGAGAAGAAACTGCAAAAGTGTGGTTTGGAGGAATCATCTATAAACTTCATCCAGAAGATGGCAGAAGAATCATTTCTAGTTACTTTGATTAGCTTTTGTTCACTTACAATGATCCACTGTTTTATGCTTTTTTGTTTATTGTTAGCATATCCAGACTATTTATTGCCCTGTACTAGAAACTGTGCTAGAAACAATTTTCTTTTACTTTATGTTCCATCCTTTTGGGTCTTGGAGTTTTATTAAACTTTTACTAATGAAGAAAGACGGAATTCATTGCGGAAAGGGTGGGGCTTTGGGGGAGTACTTATTGCATATCGTACAACCTGCTACACACAACTGGACTAGTTGAAAATCAAATGTTAATATATGCACTAATTAGTTTGGTTCGAGTCAGTTGTTGTATCCTGTCTTTATCGCTTATTGTAAACAAGCCTACTTAAAAACCACAATATATGAAATAAATCATTAAATGAAAATGATTTAAGTGAGTATGTCAAAGCTGAGGCCAGGTTTTCTTGTTTTCCTCTGCATCTTCACTCTTCTTTTCTTCTTCCTCTTCTTATGTTGCAGTTTCCTATTTTCAGACCAATATCTTAATCCTTTATTGTAAAGCCTACTTAAAGACCACAATATATGAAATAAATCAATCAATGAAAATGATTCGAGTATGGCATGGATGAGGACTAGTTTTCTTGCTTTTCCTGCATCTTCACTCTTCTTTTCCCCCTCTTCTTAAGTTGTTCCTATTTCCAGACCAATAGCCTCATAACTGGCCATTTCAGCGTTCCTTCCATTTGCACATTACCACATCAGGTCAGACTTCATTTTTAGTTCAGGATTTCTCAGATATGTTGGAGGAGTATGTTGGCTTTAACTGTGATATCAACATCCATGTCACTTACTGCAATAATGCCTATGCCATTTCAAATTATAGTACATAGAGCCAGTAGTTGCTAGTGTTTCCTCCCTTGCTCATATGGTCCTTGTGGGGCCAATGTGGCTTCCAGTTCTGGGTGAGCATTGAGTGCTTTCATGTGTTTTTTCCTTTTAGCTATTAGTGGAATTTATTAGCATGGCAAAAGGTACCACATGCATCTGAAATAAACCAAACCAATTGTTTCTATGTTATCTGAATACCAAATACTTTTTAATTCTACTATTCATCCACTGAAATAAAGTCCATTTTGTTAAAACCCTTATATTTCACATAATTTAGACTGGCTGTACTATTCATCCACTGAAATAAAGTCCATTTTGTTAAAACCCTTATATTTCACATAATTTAGACTGGCTGTTTAGTGATTCTACCAAGTCGTGGAGAGTTTTGTTAAAACCCTTATATTTCACATAATTTAGACTGGCTGTTTAGTGATTCTACCAAGTCGTGGAGAACCTGATTCTTGACCATGCTGGAGAACCAATTTCACACTGATTGTACTCAACTGGGATAACACCTGATCTGACCTGAACTGTTATATTATACTGACCTAACTAATGATCAATTAGGCAATTACTATTTGATTTTCACACAAAATTCAAACTGACCCTATATTCTAAATCTAATTGCTAGAGCACCAATTTAAAGTATAAACAAAGCAAGAAATTTGTAGTAGAGGAGAAGAACTAAATCTAATTGCTAGAGCACCAATTTAAAGTATAAACAAAGCAAGAAATTTGTAGTAGAGGAGAAGAAAGGGTTATAGTAGGAAAAAGACTGGGATAGGTAGTAGAGGAGAAGAAAGGGTTATAGTAGGAAAAAGACTGGGATAGAGTTTGAAGAAGTTTGAAGAGAGATAGATAAATGCAGTATCAGTTGTATTCAATCCAAGTTTGAAATATATTGGTTATATATATCTTTATGTATATAGAAAGTAAAGATAGAAGTATAATATTCAAATAACTCAAACAATCATAGCTTAGCTCAATTGAATTAAAAGTAATGCCTAAAATTCTCATATTTGGATTTGGCAAGGGTTTTCTTCTCTTTGCAGTGTGCAACCTCGCCATAGTTCAAACATTACTTTATGGCTGAATATTTCACATTTTTTTGTAACCTAAATTAAATGTTTTGCTTTGCACAGAATTTTTTTTGTAACCTAAAACTCTCATATTTGGATTTTGACTAGGGTGTTCTTCTCTTTGCAGTGTGCAACCTCTCCATGTTTCAAACATTACTTTATGGCTGAATAGTTTACATTTTTTTTAACCTAAAATAAATATTTTACATTTTTTTGTAACCTAAAATAAATTGTTTCAAACATTACTTTATGGCTGATGTATGTTGTCTGACCTTACATTTATATCTTTTTTCACTTTTAGGTCAATGGGGATGCTCCTAGGTAGAGATGTTAAATGGGTGGGTATGGGTTTAAATGGGCGGGTCATAAATGGGCGGGCATGTTTTGCCCATTTACCCATTTATGGCCCATTTAACATTATTTAAATGGGCGGGTTTTTGCCCGCCCATTTAATAAACGGGTCGCCCATTTGCCCATTTAACTATAGTACATATATATATATAATACTTTTGGGGTGTTTTTTGTAAACTTTTAGAGGTTTTTTTTTTGTAAACTATTGTGGGCTTTTTGCAAACTTTTTGGGAGCTTTTTGCAAACTTGTTGGGGCTTTTGATAAAATACTAACAAAGATAGGAACATAAACAAAGATAAACAAATGCAGACAAATTCATGATTAACCATATACAAGCCTGGATAAAAGTACAGACCTCACACATTTGCAAAATTAACCTCAGATTTCCAAACCAAAAACCAAAAGATCAATAACAACAAAATTACGAGTATATTTAAATGAATTAAGATAGAAAACACAAGGTATGCAATGATCTGTATAAGATCAATAACTTGATATAAATGCCATCATAAACTAGAAGAATAGTAAGTTCGTCTATAAACAAAATAGTAGCACAACCATAGTCTACTTATTTCCCATCTTTCAAATGTTCAGGCATGAACAGTATAAACATATTACAGAATCAACCAAAATCAACCAAAATAACTGCAGTTATAGACGTACTACTAGCTCACAAATTCAAGGTTCTCTGCAGCATCAGCAACAACTGCTTCGGCAGCAGCAGCTTCAGCAACTTCAGCAACTTTAGCAACAGCAGCAGCAGCAGCAGCAGCAGCAGCACCAACAACAGCTTTAGCAGCAGCGCTTGCTTTCTCGTCAGAATTCGTCTGTGCCATTTATTGAACAAATTCAAGGTTCTCTGCAGCATCAACAGTCAGTTAACAAGATGCAAAGTTGCAAACAAAATGCCATTGAGCTCAAGAACAATGAAAGTTAGCAAGATGCCATTGCAAGTAACCCAAAATGCCTTTGAACCATGAGGACATCCATGAACAATCCCATCTTCTTTTCAATGACAATACCATGTCAGGATAAAGGAGAACATTTACATAGATAGCAGCAGTCAGCAGTTATGAATGTGAAAGCAGGAAAACAACTCAAACAGCCAACCCCAAAGATTTGTAGAAGGACTTTTGTTCTTGTGCACGTGTAAGAACATTGGGGCACAAGTTAAAGTTTAGAAAAGAAAAAAGACAGATGCACATGAAAGTGGGCAAGTGTGTGTGCACTCACACATGGGCGAGCAGACACACACAGCGAGAGAGATCTTTAGCCTGAATCCCTATATCGAATCACTACAATGTATATAAAACCTTGTTTAACAAGACTTTTAGACCGAAAATCCAATGTTATTTTATGTTTTCATTATTTAAGTATATCACAAATGTCTGTGTGAGAGGTGGCAACAGCAGAAATGAAGGCAATTATCAATCTTGGTAGCAGATAACGAACAGAATGCATTAACATATATCATGATGCAGTATCAGAAAAAAGACTTTATATTCCTTACTGATCTAGAAAAGGAAATAATTGAAAACTTATTGATAAAAAGCTGAGAAGCTTCAACCTTAAGAGTCATGTAATCACGGCTCAGAATGTGTCTCCCATCCTTCCCAAATTTAATATCTGAAATTGAAGCAATGATCTCAGTAAAAAATGATCTTGAACCCGGGGCTTCATGCTCTTCAAACCTGTAGGGGTATGTCATCAGCTATGGCGGTAACAAAAGTAAAAACTTGAAATAAAAATTCAAATACTTTTAAGTAAGAACTCCATCGAAACACGTATAGATTTGAAATAAAAATTCAAATACTTTTATGACCCATCAAACTATAAAAATTTCCCCAATCAAATACTAAATGATAATTTTCAGCCTTTACCCATTCTTCACTTGATGGCAAAAAAGTGAAGTTTGGATCAATCGACTCCAAGTGCTCAAATGCCCGACGAAAGTTCAGAACACTCTCCAACATTAGAAACGTAGAATTCCACCTGTTGGACACATCCTGCTGAATTTTTTTCGCTTTACCTGAACAAGTTTGTGCAATGCACTCTGTAAACTTCTTTTTTCTTCCAGGAGGACTCTTCACATACTTGATGCATTCTCTTATCTTAGACAATGATTTATCAATAACCTTTAACCCATCTTGCACAACAATATTTAGAATATGAGCACAACACCGCACATGCAAAAAATCACCATTACTAACAAAATGATCTTCTAAAACTGGATGATATTTTAAAATTCTCATGAAAACATCATTATATGATGCATTGTCCAAGGTAACAGTAAAAATTCTTTTTTCAATACCCCAATCCTTCAACAAATGAAATAACTTCTCTACTAAAATTGCTCCACTATATGGGGGTGAAACATGAGATAGAGCTAATATCTTATTCTGCAATATCCAACAGTCATCAACATAATGTGCAGTGAGAGACATATAGTAGTCAGAGGTGGAAGAAGTCCATAAATCTGTGGTTAGACAAATTCTACTAGGAACTAGCTTTAAAGCTTGTTTAAGATTTCCTTTCTCTTTCTTGTACAACTTGATCAAATCTGTTTTAGCAGTGTTCCTTGAAATATGCTTGACTTCAGAATTTAGAAAACTATGCAACTCACGGTTTCCTCAATGTTCGACAAAAGTGAATGGATAACCATGCAATGCAATTACTCTAGCAAGCATTTCTCTATATTTTTCTTGATTTAGTGGCATACTTTTCCTGGAAGAATCAGCCTCATCTAAGTTCCTTTTCGGGCAAGAATCCATGTGCCTCAACATTGTCTTAGTGCCATGACCACCAACATAAATATGATTACACATATTACATTGAACTTTAGTTTTCTCATCATTATCGGTAGATAACTTCGTAAAGTGATCCCAAACTTTTGATGTTTGTCTTCTTTTACGTTTAGAAGTACTCTCATCATCACTACCATCATCATGGATGCTAAATTGATCATTTAAAGACATGATCGCTGAAAAAAATAATTTAATAGCACATCAATTTTGGTAGTAAACACATAATACAGTGGAATATAAATTGACTCAACATATTCATTTACTTTTCTACATCCAGGAACTTGTATATAAATTATTTCTACTATGGCCAAAGTACGTAACAGTGGGGGCAAAAACAGCCAGGTTTCAATCTCAAGCACGTACTACACAAGCAAAGAAAAAAACAGATAAAAACAGATAGATACAGCATATACATAACATTTGTGGGATATCATTACTGATTTTTAAAATACATAACATTTGTGGGAGAAGCTTAAAACCTCCAACTATTAATTCCTAGAGCTTGGATATGTCATGTGCCTCACCAAAAGATTTACATTGAAAATCCAAATGAAAAACTGTATATTGGCAAAGTTATGATTTAAAGAATTGAACCCTGAAAAGTATCAAAATCCAAGGGTGCAGTGTATTCAGCATGTCATTTTGGAAAAAATTGTAATCTTCATCTAGAGAATGCATCATAATAACCCATTAAAGTTATGATTTTAACAGATTTAACTACCATGAAGAGTATCCAAATCCAATAGTTCAGTGTATTTACCAAGGCGTTTCGGAAAATTTTGTAATATTATTGAGAGAATTCATCATAACAACCAATTAAACTTATGACCTTAAGAATTTAACCATAATGAATATCCAAATCCTAGAGTTCAGTGTATGAATTAAAAACATAACATCAATGGATTACTGTGATTCTAGCCATTTACTAACTAAACTGGAACATAATGCCCATAATTTCAGAAAAAATTCAGAAAATACCCAAATTAGCCTTAGGGTTTTGAGGAAAAGAACTTACAAGTGAGGCGGCGAAAATGAGGAGCAGGAGAAGCGGCGAGATCCGATTTCAGGAGGAGGAATTACGGTTGGGGTTCGAGAGGCGGTTGAGGGCCTTGAGGCGGTGGAGGAGGAGGCGGAGGAGGCTGCGGTTGAGGCGACTGGCGACGGAGGAGGAGGCGGAGGAGGAGAGATTGCGGCGACGGAGGAGGAGGCGGAGGAGGAGGGATTGCGGCGACGGAGGAGGAGGCGGAGGAGCTCAGAGACTCAGAGAGAGAAACGAATGGATTTAGGGTTTTGTTTTGGGAATAAGGGCGGGTGGGCGGGCGGCTATAGAATGCCCATTTAGCACCCGTTTAATTAGATGTAAAATGAACCCGCCCATTTAGACCCATTTAATTAAATGGGTGGGTTTTGAGTGGGCAAATAATGGGTGGGCCAGATGGGTAAATGGGTATGGGCATAAATTGCCTTCCCTACTCCTAGGGAAGATGTTTTTGCTGAAATAGACAATACACTCTCCTTGGTTCTTGAGAAGAAGGCAAAGCTGGATTCATCATCAATGACTGCTGGTATGGCTGGTTAGAGCTTTAGAGAGTGCATATTGTGTTGACAGTTATCATATTTGGAGCTTGCCAGTATAATGATGACATGTTTATTTACCGAAAACTAAGCCTTTCCATCCTTGTTTAACTTTGAAGAAGCTACCTAGCCCCATATTAGTTTAAAGTTAATTCCTGGTTACAAAATTTTTTGTTGGTTGTAAGTTACTTGTGATTTTTCACAGAAACTTGATAATAGGATGTATATTCAACTGTTTTACAGCATTTACAAAGTTTAAAAAAATAATCTTTTTACTTTAGCGATGCAATCTTTTCCGGATCTTTCTATAACTCCCTGTTCTTTGTGTGTGTGAGTGTGTGTATAAGAAATTCTAAAATATATACCATCATGGAAATTTTGTAATGCAGTCTTTTTTCCATCTTATCGCAATTATTGTGATCTTTGTGCGTCTAAGAGAGAGAAAAGAGAAAGTGGTTCAAATATTATTTTAGCTTAACTTCAAAGTCCTAGAATTTACCATCATGTGAATTTACCTCTGCAATATTAATCTCATTTTTCGATAATGGTTTGATCTGAGTGTGTGTTTGAATGAGAGGGAGGGACAATGTGATTTCCGATTTTCCTCTAATACTAAATATTATTTTGCAATCTTTTTATCATCTTTTTGCACCTCTTTTGATCTTTGGTTGGTTTGTGTGGGTAGTCTTCTTCCATGAACTTTTCTTTTCTTCTCAATGCCATTCCCTTTCATGGGTTTCTCTTTAAGAATTCTCTTCGCCATTTTTTTGAGTGAGTGGTAACCCTAGTGAATGATAATCTTAGATGGGGAGTTTTCTAGGAAAGAGATGGAAGGTAACCTTAATCTCCTCCCATCTTTTTGTAAACATGTGACACAAATTGGTGTTACAGACGGTGCAGTGAACATTGGTTCAAAAGTGCGATGAGCAAATCACTACGGAGAATGCAGTGAAGACAATTGTCCAATGTCCAGAGAGCCTCTGTCTAATTGTTAGACTTTTAAGGTAGATGACAGGAATCTAAACCACGGGAGGAAGGAGAAAAGATGCCAAAAGAGGATGAAGGTATATTGTTCATGATAAAAAAACCTAAAGGTAATTGTGTCCTTTTTCCTTGAAGCAGCGATGTAACATTAGGAATTTATAGAGTGTACTAATTTGTGAAGAGTGAGTAAAGCATAAATTTACTATAACTGAAAGCATGTTTAATATCCTAACAAGTTTTGATGTTAGTCATTCAGAAATAAATAATTCGATAAAAGTCCTCACAACGTGAATTTTTAGGATCTAGTTTGCTAGAGGGAGGAGGGATCAATTATTATGCAAGTTGTAACTATATAGTCTGAAAACATTTATCATTTTAGGAGTTTAGATATCAAACTTTTTCTTATCAGTTGGTTTATTTGGTCTTTGTCTTTGTGTGCATGGGAAAAGTGTTCATAAGGTGGCACCTTAGATTCAATTTAAGGTAGCGCCTCTTGATTCATAAATTAGGCTATTCTCATTGATGATCCACTCCACTCATTGTGATCGTCTCAAAACATTTATAAAATAAAAATCATGATGATTAAATACTTCTAGCACATATTTTTCATTTTCATTGTATCTTTAGTTATGTTGTTATAAAACCGTTAATTTCACAAACATTTGATGCATGATTAACTACAACCCAATATGCCTAATTTTTTATTTGTATACAATCCAAAACATATAAATCAAAATGAACGGAATGGATGGAGTAATTTGATAGCACATAATATAGTTTTGAAGGCGCTAGCTTAGATTGAATCTAAGGAGTTACCTTATAAACACTTTTCCCATAATAAACTTAGATATTTAATACTAGTTCTTCAGAAATTAATAAACTGATACAAGTGCATGGTAATGTGAATTTTAGGACGTAATTTGTTAATGATTTGCTTGGTGCTGACAGTTTTTCCATAATAAACTTGATATTTGATACTAATCCTTAAGAATGTGTGACTCACCATTTGTGTCCCTTTGGAGCAAATTTGGAAACTGAAAATTAGTCCTTCAAAGGGGCTTTATAAGAGCAAGCCCTATGTCTAGTAAATTGTCACCTATCAAATTTTGTTAGGGGCTAACATTTGATCAATATAATTGTGTGTGGATTGATGCTTCAAGACACCAATTTGTAGGAGTGAACCGCATATCAAAGTTGATTATGAGCTTTATATCATGATGTCCTAACTAAATAAAGCATCGACAGTGTTGTCACCACAATACATTTTTTACCAGCAGTCTTTAAGATCGAGAAGTGAAGAATATGCATATGTGATCAAAAGCCACATAAGGTATAGTGGGCAATTCACAGTAGGGAGGAAATAGACTAGTTCGTAGAGAGAACAGGGAAACAATTCTTGCAACTCCAGAACCTAAAAAGGTGTACCTTCCTCTTTTGGCATCTTCCCCTTTCCTTTTAATACTATGGTTTAGATTCTTGTAGCCTATCCGAAAAGTCTTACGATTTGGCCGAGGATCTCTGGACAATGGACAACTGTTCGCTACATATCCTATAGCGATTTGCCTGAAGCTTTTTTGAATTGATGTTCACTGCATCTTTTGTAACGCCGCTTCACCTCACATGTCTATAAAAGGACAGAAGGATCTAAGGTTCTGTTCCGTCTCTTTCCTCTAAATCTCTACGTCTAGGGTTACCATTCACGAGGGGAAAAAATGACCAACAGAATTCCTAAAGAGAAATCCGTGAAAGGGAATGACATTGAGAGGAAGAAAAGGAGTTCGCTGAAGAAGACAACTGCCGCTCTCCCCATCCTTCCACAAGAGGTAATCTTTTTTGGAATCTTTAGTCATCTCCCTGCCCAATTCCTTCTACTCCTGCGCTCTCTTAGCCGCTCTTCTCTCCAACTCATTGATAATCCTCACTTTGCCCAAACCCAAGCTTCTCTCGCTTCTGCCCACCTTCTTTTCTTTGTCTTCAACCGCTACCCTGAACCAAAATTCCTATCTCTCCAAATCAATCGTGGTAGTCGTAACCGCCTCACTTGTCTCGAAAACTTTAAGTTGGGACCCCCCATGGTTGTATGATTCTTGCCTCGTGCAATGGCCTTCTCCTCTTGCGCATTATTGATTCTAGCACTGAAGGCATTGTTGTAGCCAATCCAGCAATTAAGAAATGGCACATGCTCCCCAAACCCTTAGCTGGACCGGAAGGTCCATATTGGGACTGCCTTTATAGTATTGTCTTTGATGCATCTTCCAAGTTGTACAAGGTGGTGCACTTGCTTCTAGATCTTGCGGGTAAGCTCATATGTGAGGTAATCACCTTTGGATCGCCAAATCAGTCTTGGAGGCGAGTCAATGTTCCTCTGCCTATGCGTCCTGGTGCGATCATTGATCACAAATATAATCCATTTAGAATTGGTCAAATCTTATTCTGGGTCGATGGGCATTCCAGTATGTATCCTTTTAATGGTGTATTCAATCCTTCAAAGCATCATATCATGTCCATGGATGTGGTGAAAGAGGAGTTTCGAAGAATAAAACCCCCAAATTTTACCACGCAGATTTGTTGCCTCCTCGATTGGGGAGGAAAATTAGCCTTGTTCAACTTTGATAGGATTAAGATTGATGCTTGGGTTTTACAAGATTATGAAGGGCAAGTGTGGATGAAGAAACACTCTATAAGTAATAAGAGGCTTCTGAGGTATTTTTGGACCCATGGGTGGAAAATAGGCTTTATGCTGACTGCTTCTCTGCATGATGGCAAGGTACTGATTTTCAATTCTAGGAACAAAATATATCAGTATGACATTGAATATGACTTATTTGCTCAGGTGAGGACCCATTATGGATATCTTGGGGACAATCCGCAAAATGCCATGATAAGTAAACCTTGTGTTCATGTGAACAGTCTTGTATGGCCATAAAAGTGACGTCTATGTTCTGTAATAATAAGAGGATCTAGTAAGACCTTATGGTAATGGTAATAAATCTGCTGTGGTGTTATGTTTAGTGACTTCTGTCTATTTGGTGGTGATATGTTTATTTGACTGCTGTCTATTTGATGTCTGTCATTTAATATTCTTTAATAGGGTTCTAAATTAAGCAAGATAAATGCTCTCGATTTTCAATGTTCCTATTTAATGTCTGTCATTTAATATTCTTTAATAGGGTTCTAAATTAAGCAAGATAAATGCTCTCGATTTTCAATGTTCTTTGTTCATAAAACACTGAAGAATAGTTTACCTTAGTAGTCAACTTATTGTTCTTTTCTATAAATGTATATAAAGTGTTTATTATTGTTACTGTTGAACATGGTAAGTCAGTCATTTCTTCTTACTGCTTCTTTCTACTGTATGAGTGTGCAAGACTATTGAGTTGTTGTGCATCAATAGTCAGACTTCTTAACTGCTTCTCTCTAATGTTATTTTAAGTTTTCTTTAATTCTTGCTTTCTTTTTTGAATAATAACATAGATAGATCTTACACTCCACTGTTTTTGTAGTTTGTGGTCTACTTAGAACTTGTGGTCTCATATCAAGCAAACCTCTACAAACAGTCTAGGTTACTCTTTTCTCTTATGTCGGCTGAGTTTTTCGTTTTGGTAAAAATATTCTACCTTGTTTTTTTTAGCTATCCTGTCTATAGTATTTATCTTGGGAATATGTTTTTCAATAGAGATGTGGCTGTCAGGTGTCTTTATTGATTTATATTTGGCCGTGACATTTTGGGAAGGAAGAAAAGTTGTATTTGCATACAACTCACTCTTTTCCTTAATGATATGCTACCTTACTTCCTTATTTTAGTCCCGGTGTGTTAACATTGCTACAGATTTAATTCCATGACCTGATATCATTTAAGTGTTCCTTTTTAAACGTATCAGATCTATGCTTTTTTCCGTTTCTAGAAGTTTTTCAAATGATATTTGTGACGTATATAGTATTCGTTTAAATCATGATGAATGATGAATATTGCATGTAGCGGTTTTCCTCATAATCAGTTTGTGGAGTTATTGTTTCTTGTGATGTGTTCTTAGCATTGCGAGGACTCCTAGGGAATGTAAGCTTATCTGGTGCTGCTTTCATAAGCGTTTGTTTCTAATTTATAGGTTGTTTTGCTATTGTTTTGTTTTAGTTTTTCTTAATTTTGAGTAACCATTCAGGATTAGAACAGTTCTTTCAATTGGGAAGCAATTTTTCAGTGCAGGAGCTAAGGTCTTCTGAGAAGGGCTTTAGTTTCCTACATTCATCTGGAAGTTAATTGCTCTGTCATTTTTTTTGTGGCCTTTTTCTTTTTTATGCTATGTAGCAATTAGGTAGTTAAATCCTCATGCGCATATGAACGACAGGTTATTTATCATACTATTGCAAAGTTGTGATTCATGGATAGTCAGGATAGCATTTTGACACTACCATTGGTGAGCATGCAGTTAGCAAGTCGGTCTAAATTAAAACCAGTAAATGAAAACTCTTTTGCATTTGAATGTGAGCTTCCAGATTTTCTATCATGCAGTTTTTATATGCCATTTTGAGAAAACTCTTTTGCATTTGAATGTGAGCTTCCAGATTTTCTATCATGCAGTTTTTATATGCCATTTTGACCATGACTTTTTCACTCTCGAGCGATCTAAGTGTTTTCCTTTACTGCTAGTGCAATCTGTTTTGGTGTCAACAAAAATTTTTGGTTGACAGATGCTTGAATTTTTATTTAAACATTATTCATTGATATGTAATGCTGGTGTACTATGGCTGTACCTTCTGTTTTCCTCTTCTTTTTTTCTGTTTGGATTCTCATTTTCTAAGAGTTCTTTCATCAATCAAATTATTTTAAGTATTTGGTGTTAACCAATCAAATTTGAGCACTTAAATATTCATTAAAAATTCGACCCTTGTTCTTGTATTTGTTGGCGCCTGTGGTTAAATCTGGAATAATACAGATATAAAGCAACAAATAAATAAAAGAAATCTAAAGTACAGTAATTTAAATTTTTTTCAACTCAGCTGCTGTGCGTTTGTAAAACGTTGTGCTTAAAGCTATTTTTGGCCTACTCCGTTGCAAGGATCCCAAGACCAAATTGCTTCCAGGAACAGCAGTCCAGTACTCTGGTGTGCACCAACCTAGTACTGTCAAGATCTCCTCGATCTATAAGGCAAAGATCTCCTCGATCTATCAGGCAAAGATCTCCTCAATCTATCAGGCAAAGATCTCCTCGATCTCCCTAGACAAAGATCTCCTCGATCTATAAGACCTTCTCGGTCTGGGCACTGTTCCTACTAGCACTAGCTATTCTACAATATATATCTGTATATATTGATTGTTGTTTTTGGAATAAATTTTCCTTAAGGATTTGAGGTCTATTTATAGCGTTTGGGAAAACACTATGCACTAATAAAATATTATTGGTGGGATTCGTCACTAATAATATTTTATCGGTGGGACCCACCACCTTTTATAATTTTCAAACGAATTTGGCACCGCCCTTTTTACTCTGTCAAAAAATACGGTTGCAGCATCCTTAAATCACGTTTTAATTATCTTTTTCAAAGTATGCTGGACCCATCATTTTGTTTTTTTTCTTTCAAAGAAGACGACAATATCTTTTCAAAAAGCCATTTCTGATTAAAAAATTATCAACAATCCCCTACAAATTTTTTTAAACTAGTGTCGTGTAATGGTGTCGTCGTTTCAATCGTTGTGCGTAAGGTAGATGTCGCAAAGACTTGAATCCCCTTTAGACCAACTGAATAAAAGATAGATGCATGGTGTCGTAGAGACTTGAACCAACACATGTCTAAAAATCCAGCGATCACACATGATCAAACTTATCTGTGGTAGTTTTTACTTTGAACCACATTTGTCTTTGTCTTTGCCTTTGCCTTGCCTTTGCACATTTATGGCTCTGTGCATATCCTGGTTTCTGCTAGAGCTCTAGGTATCTTTCCACAAGACACCATAGGAGACGGCCAAATCTCGACCCATGCATAGGTGAGTTTTTTAGGCATGTTTCCTATCAAACATCCCGCATCCGAAATGCTTTGAACTCATTAAGGCTTAATAACCATCCTCTCTCATGATAGGATTCTAGGTGAGTCCTTTAGGTGTGTTTCCTATCTAACACCCCGCATTCAAAATACTTTGGACTCATTAAGGCTTAACAGCCATCCCCTTTATAAGATAGGATTCTAGGTAAAAAGATCAAAGTTTTACTCGGGTAGTTCAGCCAGGTAATGATATTATTAGAGGTTAATCAAAGGTCAATTAAGTACCTCGTTCCTTACGGAGCACGTTACGCAACCCCCAAACCTTGCCTTAGACACCGACTAATCCAAGAAAACTTGAACCCTTTCACTTGTAAATCTTACTTGACTTTTGAACCATTTATCTTGTCATTAGTAGCATAAGCTTTGAACTAATAACTAGATGTAAATGGTAAGTTTGTGTAAGAATTTTATTATTAGTAGCATAAGCTTTGAACTATTAACTTAATAAACATGGTAAGTATCTGTAAGATTTACAAAACTTTGAGACCCATCCCAGCCACTGTTTTAAAAAACCTCAGCCTAGTCCGTTTAGACGTACGTCTAGACCTAGGCGGTACCTAGGCCGCCTAACTAGCGCCTAGCGTCTAGGCGGTATTTAGGTTGCCCACCTAGATTTTACGAGCGTTTAGGGGAGCATTGTCTGCTTACGTGGATTGCACCCTGTAGGTCTTGATTGTGATTTTAGGTGTCGTAGCCTACACATCCTTCAAACTCCATTAACCTCCAAATATGAACACCTCCATTACCTCCTCCGACCTTCAGCAAAACCTTATCGACCACCACTTAAATGAAGAAAGAAAAAAAAATGCCCAGAAACCGCTTAGGCGCCCGCCTAGGCGACTAAGCGTTGAGCGCCAAGTCCGACGCCTAGAAGCGCCCAGCGTTTAATATAACATTGATCCCAGCAGACGTCCTTTCGACTATGTTTTTTTTCAGACCCTTAGTCAAAGGATCAGCCACATTCTCTGAAGATCGAACGTCAATCACAGAGATGACTCCTTGACAAATGAGCTCTCTCAAATAGCCATGCTTCAGACGAATGGCCCGTTTCTTTCCATTGAACATTGAGTTTGCTGCCACAGCACTCGCTGCTTGATTATCACAATAGATAGTAATTGTACCTTGCAATTCCGTCAATGGAAGGTCTCGGAGAATACAACTGAGCCACTCAGCTTCATCTCCTGCAACATAGAGTGCAAAGAATTCAGATTCCATCGATGACTGTGTAATCATGGTCTGTTTCTTAGACTTCCATGAGACGGCAGCTCTACTCATGATGAAGACAAATCCTCCAGTAGATCTGCACTCATCTGGTTCTGAGCACCAGCTCGCATCTGAATAGCCTTCGATTACACCTGGATATCCAATGTAGAATAGGCCCAGACTTGTAGTTCCTTTCAAGTATCTCATCAATCTCTGGACATCATCCCAATGAAGCTTTTCAGGATTACTTGTGAACCTACTAAGCATTCCTACAACGAATGCTATATCTGGTCTTGTGCAGCTCATCGCGTACATAAGACTCCCAATGATCTTTGAGTACCTCAGCTGCTCTACTGGTCTTCCAGTGTTCGGTCGAAGCTTCTTATTGTAATCATATGACACTGACAGTTCTGGCAGGTCGTAGTAGCCATACTTTCTTAGCATGCTCTCGACATAATGAGCTTGGGATAATCCAATACCATCTTCAGAGTATATGATTTTGATTCCGAGAATCACGTCCGCAGTTTCAGGACCTTCATGCTGAATTGTGCTAAGAGAAATTTCTTAGTAGATGTTACTATCTCCAAATCACTCCCGATGATGAGCATATCATCCACATAAAGGTAAATAACCACCACCTTTTCTTCAGCGACCTTGATGTATAGGCACTTGTCAGATTCACTGACTTGATACCCATTGTTGTGGACAACCCCATCGAACTTCTCATGCCAGAGTTTTGGTGCCTGCTTAAGTCCATATAATTACTTAACAAGTTTACAAACCTTACCAGGTGGAGCATTAAGTCCTTCTGACTTCTCCATGTAGATTTCTTCTGTGAGATCTCCATTGAGAAATGCAGTCTTCACATCCATCTGATGTATGACGAACATTTTAATTGTCGCCCATACGATAAGCACTCTGATGGTAGTGATCCTGCAAACTGGTGCATAGATATCAAAGAAATCTATACATTTTTTATGAGAGAATCCTTTCGCCACCAGTTTTGCTTTGTACTTTTCAATAGTACCATCAGGACGAAGTTTCTTCTTGAAGATCCACTTGCAACTGATAGGACTTGCACCTTGAGGTACATCCACCAGCTCCCAAGTATGATTTTGGATCAATGAATCCATCTCATCATCTACAGCTTCTTTCCACAGAAGAACGTCTGTTGACTGCATTGCTTCTTGAAAAGTCTGTGGATCTCCTTCCACATTATAGGTGATGAAGTCATCTCCAAAATCTTTCTATCTCCTGACATGCTTGGAAGATGGTTCAGTAACTCCTTCATCATTGACACTTTCAGTTTCTCAGGAAACTGGCTCCTCTGGTACATCTGACGTACTAGCATTCTCTGCTATATCTTTGAGCAATAAATCTTTATCTTTGATAAACTTATCCTCAAAGAATTCTTCATCCCGAGCTTTAATGATGGAGTTGATTCCAAGGTCAAGAAACCTGCAAGCAGCGCTATCTTCAGCAAAGCCAAGAAACACACATCTGTTTAACTTTAGCCCAAGGTTAGGCCATCTGATATCTGGAACTCGAACATATACGAGACACCCCCACACTTTGAGACTATTCAAAGGATCTTGATATCCAACCATAACTAACAAGGAGTACTATCACTTTTGGAATATGGTACTCTTTCAGAATCTAGTTTATCATTAGCGTCACCCGTGTCTCTCGCCTCTAATCCTTCTCGCGAGCTAGGCGTGATCGGGGTCTCAAGACGACGGAGAACCGCTGTTGCTGATCTCAAGACGACGAAGACGACGAAAGCTGACGAAGCCCGACGATCCGCCGCTGAGCCGACCGGTTCCCGACGAGATCCGTTGTCGCTAACTCAAGACGACGAAGAACCCCCTTCGGATCCAACGAGATCCGACGAAGATCTGACGAAAACGAGGATCAGACTTGTCTTCGGCGTCCGATCTCCCCTACCGCCGCCTCCCTCCGCCTCATCGCCGCGATCGCATCCTCAGGTTCACTCTCGTACACAGAAGAACGTCTGTTGACTGCATTGCTTCTTGAAAAGTCTGTGGATCTCCTTCCACATTATAGGTGATGAAGTCATCT